TCCGAAAAACGCTTGAGTAGAATTGATTAATACTCAGAGTTCTCCCTTTTACAAGAATGAGGAAGTCCAGCACAGAAGCTATGCAGATATTTATNCCATAGCTTGGTTGAGGTATGCTAATTTCATTTTGTGCTTCCATTTTGAATTTGAACTACATTTTCATTTCATTTTTTATTTTATGGTTTCCAAAAAACCCTTGAGTAGAACTGATTAATACTCAGAGTTCTCCCTTTCACAAGAATGAGGAAGTCCAGCACAGAAGCTATGCAGATATTTATTTACTTGTGTATTCAAACTGCAGTGTTGGCGCCATCAAACAAATTAGAACTTGGATTGGTCAACATAAAGCAAGGTAGAAAACAACAACATATGTAGAGCAATAGTGAAAATGAAGCCAAATACAAACACGGGCAGAAGATAACCTCCCACTAACTACACTGCAACAAGCTGAGGACAGAGAGCCCTCAACATAGAAACCAGAATTCCAGACTAAATTAAGAAACGCTCCAAACCATCAGTCGCCCGTAAAACACTAGGTATTGAAAAGACTGCATCAGATGCATCGACCTCCTAACAGAACAGTTCAGTGCGTAGTACATATAGGTGGTGCAAAGTCAGCCTAGGCAAAGACCGCAGTCGTTCCCGAGTGAGCCAAAGCGGCTCCTTGAATTGAATATGAACTCAGGACGTAAAATCTATACCCAAGCACCCTAACAGAATCATTCACCTGCACCGACTGGAAGTCAGAGGACAATCCGATTTTGGCAAACCTGAGTGAGTGAGTAAGGAAAGCGCAAGCCAAGCAAAACTAAATAATGAGATAGACCATTTGAGTCAGTGCCAAATTGGAGTTCAGATACGATTTTAAAGTGTACTGGTCGCCGTGAAATAGTGGAAACGTCGAACTCCAATGTAAGTAGAACGAGAGCAGAGCGGTGTTATTATTACAGTATTCAAGAATTACCCAGCAAATATACTCAAATAGAAGAAAAGTCAGTCGCCGTTAGTGGAGGGAAGTGTGTGAAGTATGCCATATGAAGAAAAACGATTGGATGCGGAACTTGAAGATTGTGCCAGGCCAAATCCCTCAACACCTAAAAATTCAAGTGAATCTTATTTGTTTGACCTACGTTTGAAACTCGGCTGCTCTCAGGGCATAACACCTCCCTAGGAATACATCGAAGCCATCCGGCCATAGAAAAGAATGATATACATCTGATTTGAGCTCTTGTTGTGAATTCTCACGCGGTTTAAGTGAGACCGCTACTTCTCTGATTTTTTTCGTCTACAGAACCAGTATTTACTGGGGAGCATTTCGAATTTTTACGAAGATTTCGAAGCTCAAACACTGGATCTGAAAAAATCCTCTTGTACCGGAGACTTATCAAGCCTAATCGTTTTATTCGCCGTAGCCGGGCTTTTGTTGGCTCGGAGGGCGTTAATATGTATTATTATAGTTGACGCAACAGTAATAAGTTTAACATATTTGACCGATAAACCGATGAAAAATATTTGACTATAATATCGCTCGAAGAGAGCACAACCGCCAAGAGAACCGCAAAGGACCGCTTGTTCTAACTTTGTTGTATGTTCAGCGGTTTTCTTTGAACTCTTCGCCAGTCTTATATGTATTGCACTTCCCATTTTCTCCCCGGGTGCTTCACTTATTCGCATTAGGCGAATTAATCTTGGCTTATTAGGTTCCCATATAGAAGTTTTCAAGCTTTATTTTTCGAACAAAAAGAGCAACAAAGGATCAAAGGAGATGAAAAAATCCGACGTTCCAGTGTTCAGACAAGTAGATTCCGTCTTTGTGAGAGCCTGAGTGTCAGCCTCCAGAAAGCATCTAGACACCAAACATTTCCCTTGCATCAATAAGGCATGGATCTGTTTCGGCAACCAACCACTGGTCAAAGCGATTGCCATTGACACATGCCCTTACTTAGCCAAAACAGCTGAGATCGCATGGCATGGTCATAAGGGATAATGGACTTCTCGTAATTGAATGCTGCCATCCATCTGTCGATGTTGTCGTCGGGTGAGTGATGATAATTCACTTTAGCGTGTTAGTTGGCGACTCGGTCCTAAGAATAGAATCGCTACTTCTGAGAAGGCGATTCCCTTTCTAGTAGAACAGGATGAATCGGCAGAACGCTCAAAAATCTTACACGTAACCCTGCATGTGAGTTATTCCTCGAGCTTCTTCATCTGCAACCACCTCAACCCGACGCTTGTGGCTTCTAGGCTCAGTTGGCAAACTCACCCATACTTCGCTTTTATGTCCATATCTGTTTGAAAAGCGGCAGGTGATTGACGGAGCAGAAAACTGTTAATGCAGGAATCACATCGGTTTTTAATTCCAATATCAGTAAGAAACTGAGATACCTCCAACTCGATTAACGGTCCCAGCACAGTCTCAGCGGAGATGCCTTTCTTGCTATTAAATTCGACAATGGTCCAGTACCTGCCCTCAGCCATTCGATACACCGGCTTTTCGTGGGCAAAGTAAACATTGAGGGCATCACCACGACGTGTTCTTGTGGCCATTATCCCTTCCTGCAACATAAGCACCCACTCTGGAGCGCCCTACCTTGCATTTGATGATGCACCTTATGATGAATTTAAGATTTCGGGTTTTCATACTTCAGTTCTGTAAGCGCTGGCGAACTCGCTAAAATCAAAGCAAACAATGCTTGCAAATTAAATGAGATGACCTAATATTATCAAGATGAGAATTCGCTGTTTATGGGCAGATGTACAAATTCCTTATGGCCTGCATAAGTAAGGTAGCGCAAAATTAGACTGACGAAGAGTTTTTGTTGCAAAGAAAACTGTTGAACATACAGCAAAGCAGGTCAGACGGTCCTCGAAGCTCATTTGCAGCAGTACAGCTTAATTGGTCTTCAAGCTACATTTTGCGAGAGTCAATATTACTTTATCGGTTACTGATGCAACATTTATAAAAATATATATTGATACAGAGATGACCTGATTGAACATCTTCTCTTCGTTGCTACATTTTGTGGTGGCAAGGTGACATGGGATCAATGTGTTGGATGAACCGCCCTGTTCCAGAATGTGCTTAGCAGTCTCACCCAATCTCACTTCCAAATCCTCCATCGTAATTGCTATATCACCGAGATATTGTATTGTTATAGCTCCATGAACTCATCGGAAGGGGTATTTATTAGCATATCGATACAGACAACTGCTCTCAGGCAGCGGATAGCCTGACGTCTTAAGCATAATACAGAACTGCTGAACAAAGAAATCTAGAGAAAAAACATCGTTGGTGCTATTGC